AGGACTTCTTACATTTGGCATCTTTCACCCATAGCTTTGTTACAAACTTCCTTGGCTGATCCCTTCTCTAAATCTCTATCCCTTACCCCCAAAATGAACACAACGGGACTCACCCACAGTGATTCTGGCCTCTGCACTGGGGAGGTGTTGCTGTTAGAACTCAGGCTTAAAGCATGGCCAAGTACATCTAGGGCAGGCAAAAGGCCTGTAACAAATTCCACATGGGCAGGAGCTGTTACAAACCAGGAATGCAGAGCACAGAGCAGTCTGTGTGCACATGCCCATCTTTCAGCAGGGCCAACCAAGCTTGCTGAACTCAAAGCAGTTCATCTTGTCCCTCACCCCTTTGTTACTGCTAAGGCTAAACGGTGGCCAAAACTGCCCATTAAGACAGCCACAACTAGGCTGGGTTTGTATTAGAGCTACTCCATCACTCAGCTCCTCTCCATGAGACAGTCACAGCAGGGAAATAGATGGGAGAGCAAGAAGCTCTTCTTTTATCTCCAGTTCTTGAGGATTTTCACCTGTGTTGAACACTCAGAGACTGCAGTAACTGCCTGCCTGCTTCCCTTGCTAGCCCTGGGGCTGCTTAATTCCATAGGGATCCCTTTGAAGCTCAGCAATGCTTCCTGAAACATCCTGTACAAAACATCTCCTGCTGGGCCAGGCAGAGCCTCCCACTGTCACCCTTCAGAGTGAGGAAACAGCAGCCACACAGGACAGTGGCAGTGGGAGCAACCCCTGGGTTAGCCTCAGCAGCACAGCACAGTCCAACTCTCAGAGGGCTGAGAGCAGATAGCACCCCATAGCACCAGTGGGTAACAATGAACTGTGGTTTTCACCTTTTTACCCCCTTTTTTTCCTTTTGCCATTCTAGCCTGCAGAGTAACAGTAGGCTGAGTACACCCCTGACTTAAGAACATCACCCAAACACCTCACAACTCTACCATGAAGAGGCTTTGTCCTTGGCTTTGTGTTTCAAGGCAGTGGGATTTCCACAGGCAGGGTATTTAACACATACCTGTCCAACAGGCTTTAACCTGAATAAAAGCAGAGTTTACACAGCACTACACAAACTCGCATCACCATCCATTCCATGCTCTGTACCCCTGATTACATTAGCGAAGAGTAGCAGCAAGATATTCCAGGTCTTAGAGGTTGGATGGGGCTTGGAGCAAGCTGCTCTAGTGGAAGGTGTCCCTGCCCATGGCAGGGGGCTGGAACTGGATAAGCTTTAAGGTCCCTTCCAACTCAAACTACTCTATGATTCTATGAACATCCAGTTCCCTTTCTGCAGCAGCTCCAGGGCACGTTACATCTGACAAAGAAGTTGACCTAGGTCAAGCAGAAACATACATGAGATAATAAATACAGTGGAAGCAGAGCATAAACTGCAGCAGCAAGAGGTGAGGAACAGCAGCAGGGATCACCCAGTCCCACAGGGCACCGGAGCAGCCTCTGCCACTTAGAAACCCCCATGTGGACCTTAGAAACTCTCACTGGGGCTATGTGATCCCAGGTCCACAATGCTGAGTCCCTGCTCTCAGCCCCTGCTGCCTTGCACACGGGGCTGGGATCCAGCTTTCCTGAGCCTGCAGTGCTGCTGGGATTGCTGGATTTGGACAAATGCTAAGGATACATCTGTGGCTGGCTTGTTTTAATGAAATAAAAATAATAAGCTGGCTCTTCAACAAGTTTAGTGACGCTTCTCCCAAAAGAGATGGGTTTCAATATAGGAAAAGATCTCTTGGGGATGATGATTTTGGCCTTAGGGATGGTCACATGGATCAAAGTAATTAAGTTACAACAGCTTAAAAAGTCACTGCCTGTCACCTGAGCTGAACTGAGAGCAGAGACTGAAGCTACCTGAAGGAGTTGAGCTGCTGTCAGCTCACTGACACCAGGCACCTGGGTGCTGCTTTCCAGGGCTCCCCTTTTCAACCTCTCAAAGCCAGGCCAGCTCAGTAACTTGACAGAAAAACAAGTATTTGTGGTATTGGCAAGCAAACAGATTTGGCCAGGGCATCTGCTGGGAGGAGACAGAGATCAGGTACCAGAAATGGCTCAAAGTTGCCCTTTGTTGGAAGAGGATCTTCTTCACTCTCAGGTGAAGCCCCACACACTTTGGTTCTGCTACACTTCTGTGTCCAGGTGAAGCTAATTTAGTTGAAGGCTGCTGCTGAAAGGGCAGCTGCCCTTTTTCTCCCCCCTTTTGCCCAAGCATGGGAGCAGGCACATGGAACCATGGAATCTCTCAAGTTGGAAAGGACCCACAAGAACTATTGAGTCCAACTCCCTGCTCCTTGCAGGACTACCTACAATTAAACCACACAACTGAGCACAGAGCAATGCTCCCAGAGCTCAGGCAGGCTTGGTAAGAGTTCCCTGGGGGGGTGACCAACAACCCCTCAGTGAAGACCCTTTTCCTTACAGAACTCAAGGATATGTAAGAAGCTAAAAGCAAACATATGGGGTCAGACAAGGTCTGTGCAGCTCGAGGTCCTGTTCCATGTCAGAAGGAAAAACAAGAACAGCATGAGACAGTCTCCAACAGTAGCTGTCCAGCCCCTAGGACAAGGGGTAACGGGTTCAAACTTAAACAGGACAAGTTTAGATGGATAAAGGAAGTTCTTTTCTTGTGAGGTGGTGAGGCACTGGAATGGGTTGCCCAGGGAAGCTGTGAATGCTTCATCCCTGGCAGTGCTCAAGACCAGGGGTGGACAGAGCCTTGGGTGCCATGGTTTAGTGTGAGGCGTTCCTGCCCATGGCAAGGGGGGTTGGAACTGGATGATCTTAAGGTCCTTTCCTACCCTAACTATTCTATGATTGTGTGACATTCCACTATAATAAGGTCACCTTGAGTTTACATTTTGCAGCCATAGGAGTTGGATCCCATTGGGGCAGCAGCACATGAGGAGTTCAGCCTCACCGTGGCCACTTTAAGCCACATTTGTATTCTGGCTCATTTGGCAGAGCATGGCCTGGTTACTGCATAATAGTGATCATGTTCTCTGCAGTCAGAAAGGCACTGCCCTCCCTCCAAGCGCAAAGCACTCACTTCTACAGTGTTATTGAAGAGCATGAGGTTCCTCTGTCCAGGTGAGATAACGTCTGACCCCTGCTGCAGAGTTCAGGCCTGGAAAAACAGGTCTTTCAGAAGCTCAATACAAAGAAAAAGCAAGATTCATGGTGAAACCACTTCGAATGAACAGTCAGAAAGGCAGCTCAGAGCTTAGCCTACAGGTTTCCTCTGCAAAGCACCTTCCAAAATGAATTAACAAAGCCAGCATTAACGTAATAGTTGGTCCACGCAGCTGAAAATAGCCCTGCACTGTACACTCAATTTGCCCAAGTATCTTTCTTAGGTCGAGAGAGGAAAGTGCACTCAGAAGAATTTTAGGTTGGCAATGTTTGGATAATCAAAACTGATGAATTAGTTTATGGTAAAAAAGGATCCCAGGAAGACATTTCAAGGATGAAACAGCTTTGTTTGGAGGCCTTCATCAGGATGATCTAACCTTAGAAAAACCCAGGGCAGAAGAGAAGCCTGCAAGCGGTATATACAAGGTACTCACTCCACTGGGAGCTGGGCTCTCCTTGCAGCACCTGTTTTGTTCTTTAGGAAAGGAAAGACGGAATGGTTCCAGATATTAAAGTTGGGGACAGATGCACTCGGAGGGCTACAAAGATGCTGGCAAGGGCTGGAGCAGCTCTGCTCTGGAGCCAGGCTGAGAGAGCTGGGCTGGGTCAGCCTGGAGAAGAGAAGGCTCCTGAAGGGGAGACCTGAGAGCAGCTCCAGTGCCTGAAGGGGCTGCAGGAAAGCTGGAGAGGGCTTGGGGACAAGGGCCTGTAGGGACAGGCCAAGGGGAATGGCTTTAACCTGCCAGAGGGGGAGACTGAGATGAGCTCTCCATCACACAGCAGTGATCAAAGCCTTCAAGGAAGAACAGAACCTGCTGTACACACAACTTGCTAGGAAGGGCCCAGCCTTTGCCAGGGAGCAGGGGAGCTTTGGGCCCTGGGCTGGCATCGCCCTGCTCCTGCTGCACCCCTTCACCAGAGCCAGCACCAGCTCGCTTGGTTCTCAGATCAACCCAGCTCAGGCCCTGGCAGAACAAAGCAGAAGGAGCCGGAGCTGCAGCGCTGCTGAGGGTCACAGCGCCTAGGAGCTGACACCAGCAATGGGCCCCGTCGCCCACTGCAGCACCTCACCCCAAGAGCCATGAACCACGTGTGTTAACAACAGATCACGCCAAAAGGAGCTAGAAACGAGGTTCAGGAGGCAGGACCTGTACACACAGGGATGGTCTTCATGAATCCAATCACTGTAACTGCGAAGGGCATCAAGGCCACACAAGCTTCCGTCAGGTCTGCCCTTTGTGCCCTCCAAATGCTGTGCTATCCCCAGCACACTGTTAGGTCAAATACAAATTACTATCACCAATGATAAAACAAGCCTCAGAAATGTTTCTGAACTATCCCCATTGTAACAGTGCTCTTCGTACTGGGAATCATACACTTGCTGTGGAAAAAAACTGCAGTCCCTCACTGCTCACAACTGCAACTATCAGGTAAAAACTGATCACAGAATCAGACCGGTTTGGGTTGGAAGGGACCTTAAAGCTCACCCAGCTCCAACCCCTGCCACGGGCAGGGACACCTTCCACTAGAGCAGCTTGCTCCAAGCCCCTGTGTCCAACCTGGCCTTGAACACTGCCACGGATGGGGCAGCCACAGCTTCTCTGGGCACCCTGTGCCAGCGCCTCAGCACCCTCACAGGGGAGGTCTCATCCCGCCCCTTCCCCACGCCCGTTCCTCTCCCGCCCCGCCGCCGCTTCCGCCCGCCTGCTACCCCCCCGCTGCACGCCGGGAAGGGTCAGAGGGCAGCGGGCTGAGCGCGGGCTTTAGTGCGGGCCGGGCCTGGGGCCACCGTGACCCGCCCCCCCCCCCCCCCCGGGCTTCCCTCCGGCCCGGTGACACCCCCGTTCCCTGCAGAGGCCCAGCATGGCGGAGAGACCGGAGGACCTGAACCTGCCCAACGCCGTCATCACCCGCATCATCAAGGAGGCGGTGGGTGCCGGGCCCGGGGGGCACCGGGGTGAGGAGCGAGTTCTCCCCCCGGCCTGCAGTCGAAGGGGCTCCGCCGAGCTGCGGTTTGGCTGCTCAGAACGGGCCCAGGCCCGGGAGGGGTGCGGGAGGGACGGAGCCAGGCTGTGACCCACCGAGTACTGCGGGCCCGCGCGCGGCGGCAGCGAAGTCCCGGGGCACTGGGGCTGTGTCCGGGGAGCGAAGGGAACCGGGTCCTGGTGAGGGCGTGGAATATCCCCCTATGGGGGTGCTGAGGCGCTGTCACAGGGTGCCCAGAGAAGCTGGTGGCTGCCCCATCCCTGGCAGTGTTCAAGGCCAGGTTGGACACAGGGGCGTGGAGCAAGCTGCTCTAGTGGAAGGTGTCCCTGCCTGTGGCAGGGGTTGGAGCTGGATGAGCTTTAAGGTCCCTTCCAACACAAACAGTCTGGGATTCTAACCCCAGTCACTAGAGGTCTGTTTGGTCCTGAGCATCGAGCTGTGGCCAGATGGATCCAGATGTGCCAGGGATCAGGCTGTGTTGGGAACCTGGGAGCCATCAGACAAATTGCCCTGAGACAGTGGTCAGACCCATCCCTGATCCAGAAGTGTCTTTGCTCCTGTGTAGCCCATTGCATTTAGAAGAGCACAGTCAAACTGAGGGTGCTTCCCAGCTGGCATCAAAGTTGCTGGGATAGTGACCAAGACCAACCTTCCACTTCCAGTTGTGCTGAGTCTTCCAAATGCCTTAATGGGCCTGATATGTGAATTACACAAGTTTAATTTCTAGCAGCTGCTGATAAAAGTTGAATTTGTTTTTCAGCTTCCTGATGGAGTCAACATCTCCAAGGAAGCTCGGAGTGCGATCTCTCGAGCAGCGAGTGTGTTTGTGCTTTATGCAACATCATGGTAAGAATTTGTTGCACTACATAACCGGTGCTGTTGATGTAGTTGAAAGTGTCCCTGCCTGTGGCAGGGGTTGGACTGGATGAGCTTTAAGGTCCCTTCCAACGCAAACCAGGCTGGGATTGCCTGTTTACATCAACAAAACAATCGTTAGTGCAGGCCAGTTTACCAGATCACAGCAGTGGCGTTCCGGCTGCTCTTTACCACCCCAGGGAAAGCAGCTTTGGGCTCTGGACATGGAGATCCATCCCTGCCAGGAACAGGAGGGGTCCCAGGCTGCCATTCCCTTAGAGCACAGCTGCGTGGCCTTTCCCAGGAAAGGGAGGAGCGTTTGGTTCCCTCTCCAGGCTGCTCCCCACACAGCAGCCTTAGGCAAGCAGGAGCCTGCCTTATCAGCCCAGAGGACACAGCAATGTTCCTTGGGCAGTTCCGGATGCTGTGCAGGCAGTTGCTCCCCTGGTGTTGGGTATGGAATGGCTTTGTGGAATTGTCACCCTGCAGCCAGCGTTCTGACTAGCTCCTTCCCCCTGGTTGTGGGAAAGGTCCAGCCAACAAACAGCCAATGTAGGCAGAGAGGTACCTTCAGGTGCCAGTAGGAGATTCAAAAACCCCAGATGTTTGAGAGATGGGTTCTTTTCTTAAGTTGCTTGTGACTAACAAGACTAAACTGGAGCCAGTTACCAGTTCCCTCTTCTACTTCTCATTTTTGACTAGTGCAAATAACTTTGCCATGAAGGGGAAGAGGAAAACCCTGAATGCTGGTGATGTTCTCTCTGCCATGGAGGAGATGGAGTTCCAGCGATTTGTAGCCCCTCTGAAGGAATCACTGGAAGGTACCGGCCTCGTTCACGTGGGGGGACTCTGTAGCACTGAGCCCTGTTTTCCTCAAGCACTGGACAAGCAACACTTACTTGCCTGTCTTGTTTCTCTTCTCTTTGCCCAGCAACCTACACTGCCTGGGGATAACTAATGTGCGCCCTAACAGGACTGGGATAACATTGTATGTCACAACTGATGAGGATTGAGAAAGTCTCATCTGCTGTCACCCCCCTATTATATTTATCTAAGGGAAGCCTTAGGTGCTGCCTAAATGTGAGCTCCTGCATCCTTTTCAGCAGGTTTCTGCTGAAACTTAGCCTGATTTCCTGGTCAGCACAGCTCAGACAATAGGGTGAGTGGCTGCTGTGGGGTCACTGCTCCTTTGAAGCAGCCGTGGGACTCCAGCTGCTGTGTGGTTCGTGCCGTGGGGACGCCAGTGTGTCGTCTTTCAGTGTTCTCTTTCTCTCTCTTAGTTTACAGGCGTGAACAGAAAGGAAAGAAAGAAGCAAGGAAAGACAAAGACAAGAAGGCAGACTCAGAGGAGCAGGATAAGAGCCGAGAGGAGGAAAATGATGACGATGATGAAAGGATGGATGAAGAAGAGCAGAATGATGAGGAAGAGGTGGACAACTGAGCTCACTGATGTGTGCAGGCGCTGGGTTTTGGTCAAAGGGCTGTAAACACTGTAAATCAACTCTGCTGTGTCCCCTCTTGCTTCCAGTAGAGCTTTGCTCTGCTCCTCTGCAGCCTCTCCCTTTTGGCTTTAACTTGTACATAAAGGACTTCGGCTAAACCTTTGCTTGGACGTGAGGGACTCCTGCTAAAGGTTTTCTGGTGGAAGGACTCCTCCTCCCTGTGCTCGGGGGGCTGAACAGTGACAGGACTGAGCTTTTCACACTGGCTTGGCTCTGAAATAGAAGACAGAAGAAATACTTGGAGCAAGAACTTGAGAGACCTGAATAAGCTCATTAAAGCATGTCAGGGGCTGAAGCAAATAGGTCATTAACCCTTTGGGGTTTAGAATCTCCCTGATGATGTCAGGGGGCTTGGAAGCTGAACACTGAAGCTTTTATCCCCGTGACTTGCTTTATTTTCCTTCATTTTCTTGCATTCTGGCTGTGCCTTTTCCTCCTGCTGTATCTCTGTCAGAGCTGCTGTGTCTTTCAACCACACCGGTCCTATGCAGCAATGAGGTTTGACTGCACAAGAGCCGGTGGCCCATTCACCTCACTCACCCAAACCAGCGTACTTCACAGCACTTTATGATATAAACTGAGTACTGAAAGTGCTGTTTTGTGTCTTTAAAGCCCTGGGAGACCCAGAGGAATTCTATTTAGGATCTGAATCAGAATGAACAGTGGAGCTCTGTTGGGATGTATGGTGGAGTTCACAGTCTCACTTCCCTCCCCTGCAGAGCTGCAGCGGGTTAAAATGGGGTTGAACAGAGGTGGATCTTGTTGGCTTGAGTAGGTTTTTCTCTTTACCTGATTGGAATGGGTTGATTGCCTCATAGGTCCTTCCATAGCCTTCAACAACCATCCCAGAGGCACAGTCTTGCCTCTGGCTGGGGTCTTGGGCTGCAGTGTCAGGCCTGGGGCTTTCCAAAGCTCCTTCATGACAGATGGACTGAAACAAGCTGTGTGTGTTTCTCGTACTCATGTAGGTTTGTGCTTTTATACTTCTTGTTAGTTTTGATGCCTTTCTCTCTGAGAAAATATCCATTAGAATAAGGGTCCTGTGGGGAAAAGCGCTTTAGTAGTTGAGCTTTTTGAAGACTGATAAACCCAGTGTTTGAACTTAACTAGGGAAGTCAGGGGGCAGTTTTAGGTATGTTGAAGTGAAACCTGCGAGTTTCACTGATCTGCAGTTTTAAAACAGCACTTGTGAGGAACAGAACATCCCTTTCACCATGAATTGGATGCAGAACAACCCCAAGAGCTTCCCACCTTTGTGCCTGTGCAGAGCCCAGCTCTGGAAGAAAACTGAACCAACAAAGACTTTGTGCTGTCTGGCTCCTCCTGACACGCAGTCAGATGAACAGGCAGAGCTGACACCATCTTCCCAAGATCCCCAGTGACAAAAGGCCTTTCTGCTAGCTCTTTGTCCTTTTTTCCTCTCCTTTCATACCTGGGTGCATATTCTGGAAGGGAACAATATCCAAATAAAAGCCAGAGTTTTTTTACACAAGTGGAGTCTCTTGTTCCTGTCAGTAATGAGCTTGTGGAGAGGGCAGAAGCAAACTGCTGTTGATGGAGTGTCTCACAGTGAAGTGAGGCTGGAGGCTGCTGCAGCCCAGACCTAGAGTCAGGGAAGGCTCAGAAAAACCTTCCTGAAGCCTTCCAGTTAGCAAAGAATATCCCAAAAAGGCACCTAAAACCTGGTTCCTTACACCCGCAGCACCACAAAACCCTGCTCCAGGCTCCCTGAGCCCCAAAATCTGGGTCTAGAACTGGTCCAACTCCCCCCCACAGCACCCCAAAACCTGCCTCCTTACCAGCCCCAAAAACCCTAAACCTGCTCTACCTCACCCAGAACCACAAACTCTGGGTCTAAATCCTGCCGCAGCTCACCCAGAACCCCAAAATCTGGCTCAAGGTTCCACTGCAGCACCCCAAAACCTGCCTCCTTACTGCCCAGTACCACAAAGCCCTGCTCCAACCCCTTCAGCAGCACAAAACCGGGCTCCAGATCCCCGCACAGCCCCCCAAAACCTGCCTCCTCCTCCCCCCAGCACCCAAAGCCCTGCTCCATCCGGCTCAGAAACCCAAAACCTGTCCCCTTCCCCCCCAGCACCCCAAACCCCTCCTTCCCCATCTCCGCACCGCCTCCAAGTCCTTTCCCGCGCTATTTCGCGCGAGACTTCCCGCCACGCCCCCGCACTGATGGGGCGTGTCTATGCTAACCAGGGGGCGGGATTATGCAAATCGGGAGAAGGCGCTGGGAGACTCCTACGGACGGAGCAGGACGCGTTGGCTGGTGAGTGCCTGCGACCGGGACGGGGACGGGGACCGGGACCGGGACCGGGGGCACCGGAGCCGGGGCGAATGCCGCGCCTCTGATGCCCCCGGTCCCCGAGCCCGTCTTCTTATAGGCCTGCTCTGAGGCCGGAGATCAGGATAAGTCGAGGGGTAGGGTCCGGCCGGGCAAGGAGACACCGCTTGGGTGCAGGCGGCAAGGACAGCTCTCGGTAGCGCAGTAAGGGCAGAACGGGTTCTGCTCGGTAAAGCACGAAGCAGCGTGTGATGGTGCGGTGTAACTGCAGATCCACTGAGCCCTGAGTATCTGCAGCACTTCAGGTAGATGTTGTGCAGGGAAGGATGAGGGCCGGAGCAGCTCTGCTCTGGAGCCAGGCTGAGAGAGCTGGGCTGGGGCAGCCTGGAGAAGAGAAGGCTCCTGAAGGGGAGACCTGAGAGCAGCTCCAGTGCCTGAAGGGGCTGCAGGAAAGCTGGAGAGGGGCTTGGGACAAGGGCCTGCAGGGACAGGCCAAGGGGAATGGCTTTAACCTGCCAGAGGGGAGACTGAGATGAGCTCTTAGGCAGAAGCTCTTCCCTGTGAGGGTGCTGAGGCGCTGGCACAGGGTGCCCAGAGAAGCTGTGGCTGCCCCATCCCTGGCAGTGTTCAAGGCCAGGTTGGACACAGGGGCTTGGAGCAAGCTGCTCTAGTGGAAGGGGTCCCTGCCCGTGGCAGGGGTTGGAGCTGGAGGAGCTTTAAGGTCCCTTCCAACACAAACCATGCTGTGACTCCATGGTGCAGTGTCCCCTTATCGCAGCACTCTTGCAGCCCTTACTCTGCATCTCCCCTGGCCTTCCCCGTGCATCACACAGAGGCTGTAAGACCCCGGTGCCCTCATGCAGGCGGGTACTCTGGCTGGGCAGGGGGACTCTGCAGCTCCACGTGGGGCTGGTGAGGAGCCCCCGGTGCCCCCAGCTCGCAGCAGACAGGGCTGTGCTGGGCCCACCCCCCCGGCTGTTATCTCTGCTCTGCAATTCAGCCCTGTCCCCGTCCCCTCCTTGCCCAGCGAGGGCAGCCTCTGAGCTGGGGCCTCTATCTGCCCTGCACAGAGTCAGGTGCCTCTGGTTCCACCCTGCCCCTTCCTCCTGGGGATTAACTGTTAAAAGCATTTTTGGGATTCTCGAGGTGGGTTTTGCTCACTGAGCCCTTTGTTCTCCACTCGTCCCAGCCTGGAGCCCGGCCACTGCACTGGAGCTGCCAACTGCAGTTCAGGCGAGGGCTGGCCCCTTCCCTGTGAGTAAGGGCAGAGCAGCAACTTTCCAAGGGCTAAAAATGATTTGCCAAGCGATGCTGTGACTCTGCCAGCTGGTCTGCAACCCCCCCCCCCCCCCAGCACCATCCAACTTCATAAGGTGTTTATGTAGGTGTGAGCCTGTAGGCAACCGAGAGGTACCTTTTGCCCATCCCCAAGCAGAAGAAAGAGACTGAGGTCAGGCCCTGGACTTGACACGATGCCCCATATTACCAGTGCCCTCTTCCTGTGGTGCTTTGCTACAGACTGAGAACCTGGCTCAGCGTTGCAGTATCTAGAGCGTGTGAACGCCTCAAATTAAAGGTTTTCCTGCAGGATGGAGCCATCTCCTGCACAGCCCCGGTGCTCCCTGGTGCCGTGGGTGCTGCTGTAAAGCATTCTCCCTGGGCTGTATCTGTGCCCTGGAAGCGGGTCCATGAGGTTTTATTGCTTGGGGAATCCCTCCAGGGGTGGGACTGGGGACCCCAGGGCTGCTCCAAGCCAGCTCCTGTCCTCGTGTCCCCTCTCAGGGCAGCCCCCCCTGCCATGGGGAGCTAGGGGAGGAATCCGCTCGCTCCTTCAGAAGTCTCCAGCTCTCAGAACAATCTGGTCTCCAGCAGGGACTTGGCTCTTGTCTCCCGGGACACCCTGCGCAGGCACCTGCAGGATGCAGCCTTGTGAGAGCAGCCATCCTGAGTCCTTGGAGCTGCTTGTACAAACAGGCTGCAGCCCAGGTTGGGGTTCCCAGGGCCCAAACAGCAGCTCCTGCTGTGCTGCAGCCAAACAGCCCTTCCATCGCGCTCATCCACCACACCACACAGTGGTGAGAGTTTAGCTCTAGGGGGAATTTAAATCTTAGCGGTCTCATCACAGACTTGTTACCAGATCTGCTACAGAAGAAGAAAGCATTGCTACAGGAGAAGTTCCAGCACTAACACAGCTAACACTTCATTTCTGTGCATCGAGTAATTCTTCTTTGCAACCTCTGCAGTCAGTTTGCCCAACTCCCTGGTGTTCCTCACCCTCACTTGCTGCAGCAAGTGGCCACTGGAGCTGTGGAGCTGTGGGGTTTAAAGCCCTGGAGTCTTCAGGGTGATCCCATGCAGCTCTCCCATCCAGTGCCTGTACTGTTCTGTAACTGCACCTATACACTGCAGCCATAAATACATTGTGCTACATAGAGCAGCTCTTCACTGTATACAAATCTGTTATCAAACAACTTACACAGCATTAAGCAAAATGAATTCAGCAAAGACCATCTCACTGATAGAAAACTCTGTTACAGCTGTAGCAGCCAAACCAGAGGAAGCCTGAGGAGGGTTCTGCTGCGGGGGGACACTGGTGGTTGTGAACTGGTGGTTTCATACACAGAACTAGGGGGTTTCATGGGGAGGAATCAGCATCATCCCTGTTCATGTGACTGCTGCTGGGGGTCCTGCAGCACCCACCAGCAGGGCTGGGATGGAGCTGGCTGGGATGCAGCTCGTGCTCTCTGTGTGTGCCCAGTGAGGGACAGGGATGGTCCTGCCATGGCTGCCTGGATCTGAGCCCCCTCCTCACATGCACCAACAGTAGCAGCTTCCCAGGGCACCACCGGTGACCAACCTGCTGGCTTCTGGTGTTTCAGAGCCTCCTTCCACAGCATCCACGATGCAGGCAGATTCCCTTCTCCACAGCGGCTACTTCCACCCTGTGCTGCGCTCCTGGCAGTGTACAACCACCACCTTCGATGCCTCCAACCTCATCTACCCCATTTTTGTCACGTGAGTGAGCCCTGGCTCTCTGGGTTAGGGATGGACCACACTCAGGGTGACCGGTTTAGGTGCTCCCTGAGCTCTTAGATAGGTTCAGGTTCCCCATGGAGCGGTCAAGCCTGGGATGGGGGTCAAATCCTCACACCGAGTCTTCATGTCTCTGTCCCATCCACCTCCTGCAGTGACAGCCCTGATGCAGTGGAGCCGATCCCCAGCCTCCCTGGACAAGCCAGGTAAGAGTCCAGCCCTGCTGAGCTGCATGAGAGTCACTGCCGTGCTCCATGCCAAAGCAGGGTTGATGCATGGCCTGAGATGAGCATGAGCCAGGAGCGATGCTTCCAACCCTCTGTGGTCCCTGCCTTGGGGACCCTCAGCATCAGGCAGGGCAGGAGCACTCATCCATCATATTGGAGTGCTGGGAAAGTACCAGTACTGGCAGGGATAGTGCCAGGCTCCCACGATGTCCCAGAGCACTCGCACATGGGCTCAGCATGCAGGGAAGTTGGAAATGGGGTTTCCAGCAGCAGCTGGAAAACCTGTGCAAGGACATGGGCTCTGGTCCTGCACTAGATCCTGCTGGACTGGCAGCTCCTGTCTTCATCTACTGCTGCATCAGCAGGGTTGTGGTCACAGAGCCCCCAGGAGGTGTTCCTATGGGGAGGTGGGCTGGATCTGCCACAGGGACACCACAATAAGGGGTCCAAGGACAGGGCATGCTTGGCCTTTCAGAGCAGAGAGTGTCCATGCAGGGTAGATAATGTTACTGTACTCCCAGATAAGGTCCTGGGTTGTTCCTCACAGTGTTCAGGCAACGTGTCCCCTGTATCTCCAGCTGCTGCTTGCTGTGGATGCTGGGTCGCTCCCGGTCCAGCACCCAAGGCACAACCAGCTCACCCATGGAGCAGGTGCCTGGCAGCCCGTTCCCTTTGCTCTTCTCAGGTATGGAGTCAACAAGCTGGAGGGGATGCTGCGTCCCCTCGTTGAGGACGGTCTGAAGTGTGTGCTCATCTTCGGGGTGCCCAGCAAGGTCCACAAGGTCAGTGTGCAGGGTGGTGGCAGGGGGTAACCACAGGGGTGTGGGAGGGCAGAGTGGGGCCAGGGAGGTTCTGCTGATCAAAGAGGAGTAGCTCAGGGTCTCTGGCCTTGCTTGCACCTCACCCAGTAGAGCAGGATGGGGATGGGAGACTGTA